TAAGGTCTTAGGGGTTAGGTTAAGGACTTTGGATCAGGATCGTAGTGGCTGAAAGGAGAGAAGTAAGAACTATTAAGGTATGCAATTACTTGGTAAAAGAGAAAGAATCAACCATTTATCCTGCTTTCCTATATAAACAATATCACTAGGTAATCAAATAATCAAAAAGGAGCGATTTTCTTTTGTAGAAACGTTGTACAACGGCTAATAAATGAAGAATGATGGAACTAAATCACTATTTAAAAACTCCTAATGAATGAATTGATCTAGATATTTCTCATCAATGGCTGCCAACAACACAAAAATAAAGACAAGCATACATTCTATATTTCTCAGTGGAAAAGTACACTGCCACCTATGAAGTAATACTGCCAATAATTAAACTTGAATCTGATAAAACATTTAGATCCTACTGTCAAATTACACTAAATGCAGATAAGGGAACATAAATACTCCACAGGGATGCAGCTGACAAAATCAATTGTGGCAAACACTATAGGGCAAACAACCTAGTCCCTTTTTACAAATGCTGGGGGAAAAAGAGAGGAAAAACAATGCAGCCAAACATGGCACAGCTGCTCACTGAAACTGCAAAAAAGAAAAAAATGGCAGAACTGTATAGACAGAAAGTAGCTAAGTTAGTGGTTTGTAGGGCCAGAGTTGGGAGAAAATGGGAGTGACTGCTAACAGGTTATGTGTTTCTTTCTGGGTCGTGAGAACGTTATAAAATTGATTATGGTGATGGTTGCCCAACTCTGTGAATATGCGAAAAGCCAATTAATTACATACCTTAAATGGGTGAATTGTATGGCATGTGAATTATATCTCAAGAAAGCAGATGTGTGTGTGTGTGTGTGTGTGTGTGTATCTATATGGAAAAGAAGAGATCTGCAGATGGAAAGGAAATCAGCTAAGGAATGGAGTACAGTATTTCTACACAGAAGGAATAATACATGTAGTGGAGAAAGAGCATGGCATTTTAGAAGATGTTAAAAAAAAAAAACACCTCTGCAACTGGCATATTTCCTGAAAGAGCTTAGTTAAGAGATGAAGCTCAAGACACTGAAAGGGCCCAGATTGCGTAGTGGTGTGAAAGCCATGCTAAGGGTTTGGGACTTTATCTTGAGAACAATAAGAAACCATTGTTGGGTGACTTGACTGCTATGCATTACAACTCTGGCGACCATTTAGACACAGAGGAAAGGGAGATTGCATTCAGGAAACCACCTAAGTGGCATTATAACTCTTCAGGCACAAGCTAGTATCATCTTATTTTAGGACAGTGGCAGTGGAGATGGACAGATTCAATAGGACTTGTTGATGGATTGGAATTGAGATGCAATAGTAAAGTAGCAAAGTCAACCTGCTCCACTGGATGAATGGTAAAATGTGAACACTGGAAGAGGTACAAATTTTAGGGTAAGGGAGTGCGATTACTTTTTTACATGTCTAGTTGGATGATCTAATAAGGAAGTAAGGTTGGGTAGAAAGTATTCATGCCGGGTGGGGTGCGGTGGCTCAAGCCTGTAATCCCAGCACTTTGGGAGGCCGAGGCAGGTGGATCACGAGGTCAATAGATTGAGACCATCCTGGTCAACATGGTGAAACCCCGTCACTACTAAAAATACAAAAAATTAGCTGGGCATGGTGGCGCGTACCTGTAATCCCACCTATTCAGGAGGCTGAGGCAGGAGAATTGCCTGAACCCAGGAGGCGGAGGTTGCGGTGAGCTGAGATCACGCCATTGCACTCCAGCCTGGGTAACAGAGCGAAACTCCGTCTCAAAAAAAAAAAAAAAAAAAGAAAAAAGAAAACCTTCATGCCTTAATGCTAATGCTTTCGGACTAAATAAGTTTTCACTTAGTTCTAATGGTCTTCCACAAGGAAGTACCATCTTTTGCCAGAATTTAGTTCCCTAAACAGCTCGTGGCTGAAATATAACTCCTGGAATTTGCCTGGAATTTGAATTCCTCAGAATCATCCAAACCAGGTTAATAATTAAAGGTTCCTCATACTGTCTACATTTGTTTGTTTCACCTGTGTACAGGATTCTGATTTCATAAAATCCTCCCAGCAGTATTATTTAACCTAGTGTCAAAGAAAGGTGTATATATTCCAGCAACCCATAAGCAAGTCTCTACCAGCTCAAGAAGGAAAAAGGTGGGAGGCTGCAGAAGCCACAGAAACTGACCCTGCCCAGAGCCAAAACAGACAAGAGGGCTCCTGCAAAGTTAATCTTCCTTGTATTTTTTCTCACACCCTCTCCAAGCATCTGGCACTAAGCCCTTAAGGGCCTCACAGTCATTTGTTATTTAATAAAGTCTTCAGACCTGAGGTGGGGTGGAGTGGAAGGATGATAAAATATTTCAATGTTAAATGAGAAATAGAAAAGCAGGTAATAGAAACTCAGGCATGGTGGTTTACGCCTGTAATCGGGAGACTCTCTTGAGCCCAAGTTCACATAGCAAGACCCAGCTCTACAAAAAAATTTTAAAATTAGCCAGACATGGTGGCACACTTGTAGTCCCAGATATTTGGAAGGCTAAGGCCAGAGGATGCTTGTGCCCAGGAGTTTGTGGCTATATGCAGTTATGACTGCACCACTGCACTCTTGGACAAAACAATAAGAGCCTGTCTCCAAAAAAAATTTTTTTTAAGTGGGAAAAGCAGAGGAGACAAGAGAATAATCTAAGGGAAAAAATTTTTAAATTATAAAAGCCATGTATGACAAACCCACAGCTAATATCACACTGAACAGGAAAACATTGAAAACCTTTTCCACTAAGATCTAGAACAAGACAAAGATACCCACTTTCACCACTACTATTCAACATAGTTCTGGAAGTCCTCACCACAGCAATTAGGCAAGAGAAAGAAATAAAGGGCAACTAAATTGGAAAGGAAGAGGTCAAATTATTCTTGTTTGCAGATGACATGATCTCATATTTAGAAAAACCTAAAGAATCCATCTCTCAGAACTTCGATGAACAAATTCAGTTAAGTTGCAGGATACAAAAATCAGTTGATTTTCTAGAAGCTAACAGCCATCCATCTGAAAAAGAAATCAAGAAAACAATCTCATTTATAATAGCTACAAAAAAGCAAAATAAAATACCTAGGAATACATTTAAGCAAAGAAGTGAAAAATCTCTACACGGAAAAATATAAACATTGATGAAAGAAATTTAAGAGAACCAAAAAAAAAAAAAAAAAAGGAAAGATATGCTCATGGATTGAAAGAATTAATATGGTTAAAATATCCATACTACCCAAAGCCACCTACAGGTATAGTACAATCCCTACCAAAATATCAGTGACATTCATCACAGAATTAGTAAAAACAATCCTAAAATTTGTATAGAACCACGAAAGACCCTGAAAAGCTAGGGCAATTCTGAGGAAAAATAACCAAGCTAGAGGCATTCCTCTACCTGATTTCAAGTTGTACTACAAAGGAAAGAAAATTTTTGTGTCATTGTGGTAGTTGGGGAGCTGCCACCACAGTCCATGGAGAAACACTGACTAAAGACTTGCCTAATGGTGTTTTATTGAGACTATCCTGTTAAAGGCACTCGGAGAGGTAGATAGGATTTATTTGACTACTTCATTCCATCCTGATTGTTTCCCAGTTGCTTTCCACCTACATACACTCTCAAATACCCCTCACCAGGGCTCTAGCTCCTGCCCTTTACTGAGTCTCGCTCTGTGGCCACCAGTCCTCTCCCCGGTAAGTATTCCGCCTTCTTTCCCTTCCCCTCTTCAAATCTTAGTGCAAAAGTTTCTAGGCCTAATTTGCATCTGTCTGATTTTTCTCATCTCTGAAATGGGAATAATAAAAACGATAGTGGGAACAATAATAAAAACCTGTGATAAAACCTGTGAATTACAGTTGCTGTGAGGATTAAACAACATACTTGCAAACTTGTTGGAAACTGCAAAGGACTATAAAAACAGAAGTTGTTTTTATGCCTTTTTTCCTCAAGATGTCAAGTGTCAGAATTAGGGTGCTTAGGTGCTTGGCTGTTTGTCTCTCAGAGTGAATTGTTGTGAGACGTTGCTAAGTGTTTCAGAAGAAAAATCCACACTACTTCGGGGGACGACCACCCCCCTTGCACAAAATCCTCTGGAAAGAAGTCTTTCGGTTTGCAAGCTGGAGGCGTGGGGAAACGCAGAGTGCCCAAGAAGCACCTGCCCTCACCCCGCCCGCCCCCAGGCACCGGGGGCGCTGCCGCCTGCAGTCCCCGGCGCCCCTATGACCTCCGGGGGCGGTGTGGAGCGCGCTCGCCCGCCTGGTCGGGGAAGCCAAGACTTATGGCTAGGTTTATTTTGCAGTTGACCAAGGGTTGCAAAACACACCGGGCATACCGGTTACTTTGGGGTGGCCCGCACACTCCCTCCGGGAACGCCAGGAAAGTGATGGTGAAGTAAACACGACAGATTCACGGTTGTGGAAGAAGTACGGTATATTTTTGGAGCAGCTCTAGGTGTCCCTGTGTTGGAGGAACGAGAGGGACCTGGGAGTCCATTTCTCCGCGCATCTCAGAGCCGCACGCCCTGCCAGGGTCACCTAGGCAAGTGCTAAACGGCAAAAAGCAAGCACTGCGAGGAGGCCCGAGGAGCCGCACACCCCAGAGGGGTCGCTGTCCGCCCAGGACCGGGGCACCGGCTCATCGGTCTGCTGGGCGGCCCTTGGCAGGCCTGTTTCCATGGGTGAACAATAGGCAATTACCAACTGACCTCCCTCGCCGAAGAGGGGCTGAAGTGTTTCGATTTCGCCCTGGCTACAGAAACTACCCAAGAAAATAGGAGTTATGTTTTTAGTTCGAAGAAAAAAAAAACTGTTAGAAGTGTGACTCCTGCGGAGAAATGCTTCCCAGGTGTGAGAGCGGTGATGGATGGGAAGACGGCTTAGAGGAAGGACAAATGCGACAGGGCTTATGGGGGTATACGAAAATCTGCACCTGTGCGCACATAGGCAAAAATACTGTGTCAAGACCCACGGCCTTTCTGGGTCACACGGGCTCTACCGTCAGAGGAGACGGAGTCACCCACAGTGCAAGTCCCGACGGCCAGGAGGGCCCATTTTCTGCGCTTGCGCAATCATCACGTTTCCTTCCCCGCCCCGAGTCCCGCCCCCGAGCTCGCTTTGCCCCGCCCCACCCCTCCTTCCCCAGCCAGTCCGCCCGCGCAGAGCATTGTGGGACACAAACAAAGTGCCCCCAAACAGGCTGGAGTGAGCGGAGCGGCAACAGCGGCGGCGCCGGCCCGCACGCGCGCGGCGGCGGCTCCCTCCCAACCTCCCCCTCCCCTCCCCTTAGTCCCCTTCCCCTTCCCCACCCCGCCCCGCCGGGAACACGCGAGCCGTCGCCGCGCTCCCCAAACAACCGCCTGCCCTCGGCCAACCGTCCCCAACGGCCGCCCGCGCGCGGCTCCCAGGCGCCCTCGCTCCTCCCCTCAGGCCCCTCCGAGCGCCAGGGGTGCTATCCTCCCAGCCGCCTCGCACTCCTACTTCGCAGGCACGCCGGTGGGCTGTGCCGCCATGCCTCAGCTACAGGCTGCTCACGGGCCTAGGCGCGGTGGCCCGAGATAGGGGCCCCTGAGCCTCCCGGGGGAGGAGAGAGGCAGCGAGCCGCGCGCTCCGCCCCCTCCCCCCGGGCCGTCGCCGCCGCCGCCTCGCCGCCCCAGCCTGGCGGGAGAAGGAGGAGGAGCAGCAGGCCTCCGGGCCCGGCGCCGCCGCCCGCAGGTAACGGGGAGGAGAGGGCGGGCTCCGGCCGCGAGGGGGGCGGCCGCTGCACGCCGCCCGGGGCTGACACCGCGTGGGCCCCACCTGGCGCCGGAGGGAGCGGAGAGCCGGGTCTGTCACCCTCGTCCGCGCCGGGAGACACCCCGCGGGATCCCCTCGGTGGCATTTAATCCTTCAGGGAGGAGACCGGCCTTGGGCCCCGCGGTCCGGGAGCAGTTACCCCGACCTTCCAGGGAGCTGCCCGTCCTTTTCACGCCCAACAGCCTAACCCGGAGCGGCCGGAGGTGTTGCCACCTCTCACCTGGTCGAACCCGGGAGGCTGAGACCTGGGTTTTTTTCCTCCTTTCCCTTTCTGCTTTTTCTGTGGTACAGGAAAGAGAAAGATGGCACTTATTTAAAAATATGTGTGTGTATATATGTGTGTGTGTATACACAAACACCTCTTTTTCTTTCCTTCCTGAGGATCACTCTGCGTCTAGTCGTTTTATTGCTGGCCTAATCAGAAAAAGGGGTTACCTCGAGAAATGACAGGTACGTTAGAACTGATTAAAGGAAATTGCGTCCATGTGAGTTCTATGACTCCAAGCAGAATTTAGAATAAATTTAGAATAAAACCCGTAATTGTGTGCTTTTTTTGGAACTTACAGAAATGAAGACAAAAACTTAATTTCATTTTTAGCATGTAAGTAGATGATCTCTTGAAGTCAGGAAGAAATTCTCTATAACTTCCACTTATTTTCTTAATGTTTTGTTTGGAGATAGGCTAATACCGGAAGCAGGCTGCACAATTTTAATTTCCTTTTCTCTAGGTGTTGAGTTGGAATTCTTAGGTTTAAAAAACACTATATAAATCTTCATTTCCCCCATTACTTCACTTGGACTGCTAGTGGACTAATAATAATTTTATCTAATGTAGTTCCCCTTATAGAGTGTGAATATAATGAACATTGTCCTGTAGTTTTGTATTTTAGGATTAGTAGTAATATATTGATTATGAAAACCAGGTTTATTTTCTGCAGTACTGCTTGGCATTTTTGCATTTGTAATCATTTAATTCTCAGAACCTAATGATGCAAGTATTATTACTTGAATTTTACAGAAGTGACAAACATAGTGATCCTAAGAATTATAACTTGCCTTAGGGCACACTATCTTAAGATAGTTTAGATTTCAACCCAAATATAATTCTGGTATAGGTATACTTTTTTATACTTTCTTCTGTACTTCTCAATGGAAGTACAATTTTATTAACTTTGTTACGAAAAATTTCAGTCTTATAGAGGTTGATTCTATGCAACTGTGATTGGTTATTCATGCAATGAATAAAAATGCTAATCAATGCAATGAATATCCGATTCAGTGATTAGCATTTTTACCATATTGTTTCCCTTCTTTCTCTGTATGTGTGTAATTATTTGAAACCATAATCCTCCAATGTTTCAGCATGTATTTCCTAAGAATAGGGACATTCTCCTGCTAACCCCAGTATCATTATTAATACCTGTCAAAATCAACAACTTTTTATTCAGAATTCCTCAATTGTTCCAAAGTGTCTTTGAGGGTTCCTCCCCCAGCTGTAGTCAGTCAATATTCATGTATTGATTGCATTTGGTAATTAAGTCTTTAGTTTCTTTTGTAAAAAGAATAGTATCCATCCCCCCTCCTTTTTGCTGGGAAAGTTAAATAGGATGAATGTTCCCTCCTTCCTTTTTTCTGACACCTAATTGACCAACCAGTTGCCTTGTAGAATATACCCACATTCTGGATTTGTGCCCTCCTAATGTCATTTTATTTATTCCTCTTTCTCCCTAAATTTCCTATTAATTGGAAGTTAGGTGTAAAGGAAGGCTTAATTAGCTTAAAGTAAAACTTTCCTTGGCAAGAATATTTAATAGGTGATGCTGTGTACCTCCTATTGCATAATATAGGAGGCCCATAATGTCAGATTTCCACACTATTAATGATGCTAAATGTAATCATTTGATTAAAGTCGTGACTACTGACCTCTTGTAAAGGTGTGGTTTGTTAGTTTGTGATTAATATGTAATCTTGGGGTAATACCTGGACACTAAGCAAATACCCAGTTTCTGACAATCTTTTGCGTAGTGATTTTTGGCACCCATGATGACTGTTGCTTAAATCAGTTATTTTATTGGAGGTTCTAAGAAAGAGATTTCCTTCATTAAGTGCAGGTAAACTATTGTTCTTCCCCAAAATGCAGATTAAATGTTAAATTTCTTCTCTTTTCTTTTCAATATTCATAGTAAAGAGCTGGAGAAATAGTCACTCCCCAATGATGGCAAATAAGATGTTTTTTTCAGGGAGGGGTGAGTAATACCTCTATGGACTCTCATGGGTTTTAATTTATTCCTTGTTTTATTTATAACCAGTTACAGTCGTTTTCCTTTTTAATGGCCAAATTGTCCCAGATTTGGTCAGTAGGTATCATTTCAAGCTGACTCCTGTGTGTTTTGACACCCCTGTTCCCAGTTAATCTTGGAGTGCTTTCTAACACAAAATACTCCAGGTTTATCTTACGCTTTTTTCCCTCACCTCTGGAAAGGACTCTTTATCCAAGGATTCTTGGTGAGAAATTGTATATAGAAACCAAGTTCTGGATGTTTGGCATATTCATTACTGCTGCAGTATCATTGCTTCTAGGTACTTTGAGAGGAGAAAACTAAGAAAAAGTTTTTTGCTTGTTTAATCATGAGTTCAGAGTGATATTCCAAGTCCTATTTAGCAAGCAGACTTTTTCTTCCTTGACTCTGTATTTGTCTCTTGTCTTAAATGAAAATCTTGATATTTAATGCAATTAATAAACTGGCTAAGCTCATGCCTGTAATCTCAGGACTTTGAAAGGCTGAGGTGGAAGGATTGCTTGAGCCCAGGAGTTCAGTGCCAGTCTGGGCAACATGATGAGACCCCATCTGTACAAAAAATAAAAAAAATTAGCCAGGCATGTTGGTGTGTGCCTGTGTTCTAAGCTGCTCAGGAGGCTGAAGCAGATGGATCGCTTGAGCCCCGGTTGAGGCTGCAATGAGCCATGTTCAAGCCACTGCCCTCCTCCAGCCTGGAAGACAGAGTGAGACCCTGTCTCAAAGAAAAAAATTAATAAACATATTTGCGTTCTCCCACTGTATACATAAAATTATTTTAAAATTACAGTGCTGGTATTACTAATATCAATAAGCTTAATAAAGTTTAAGCTGTTTGCATTTATTTTCATATTTAGAATATATTGCATGAAGAATGTATAATGAGTACTGTGTTCAGAAGTCACTTAAAATACCTTTCTCTGTTATGCTACCAATTTGATATGGTTCATAGGTTTCAGTTTTTCATTAGGATTTTATTTTATTTTTGAACGTGTAAAGCATATATGTAGTGTAGAAGTCAAATAATGTTTTAAAAGTATACTTGGAGAAACCTCATCCAAATTAGTTTTTTAAGATGAGGTATTCTTTACTTTTACCATACTCTTTTAATATCCTATTACATCTCATACTAAGTTCAGGAGAATTAGCAGTAGACAAAGTATGTTATGTGAAGCCACATAGTACTTTTAAATTTTAAAATTAGATTCTGCTTTCTCTGGCAAAGAGAAAGAAAAGAACTAAGACTAATTTTTTAAAAGTTAGCAAAGAAGTGGATTTCATGCTTGCTTTTTTTTTTAAAGTGGCAGGGGGGCTCACTGTGTTGCCCAGGCTGGAGCGCATTGACTTTTCACAGATGCAGTCCTACTACTGATCAGCATGGAAGTTTTGACCTGCTGTTTCCAAACTGGGCCAGTTCACCCCTCATTAGGCAACCTAATGGTCCCTCACTCCTGGGAGATCACCATATTCATGCTGAATTTAGTGTGGACACCCGATGGGCATAGTGTACTATAGCCCACAACCTCTGGGCTCAAGTGATCTTCCTGCCTCAGCCTTCTGAGTAGCTGAGACTACAGGCATGCACCACTGTACCTGGTCTTTTTCTTTTTTTAAATAGAGATGAGTTCTCACTATGTTGTCCAGGCTGGTCTCTCAAACTCCTGAACTCAGGTGATTGTGCTGCCTTGGCCTCCCAAAGTGCTGATGAGTATAGGCATAAGCCACTGCACCCAGCCCAGATGCCATATTTTTAAATAAAAATTCCGTAAAAGTAGAACTGCAGCTTTCACTTAAATGATGTCTTTAAAGAGGCATGTAGTTGGTAGAGGTTTTATGATTCTACCTACTTTTTCTATTTTTTTTTTTTTTTTTTTAAGATGTAGTCTCCCTCTGTTGCCCAGGCTGGAGTGCAGTGGCTCGATCTTGGCTCACTGCAACCTGCCACTTGGGTTCAAGTGATTCTCCTACCTCAGCCTCCCTAGTAGCTGGGATTACAGGTGTG